ATAGATAGACAAAAAAAAAAATAAAAAAAATTGAAGCTCGATAGATGATTAACCGGATTTGAATATTTGATGCCAACGGACCATAAATTCTCTACAGGACTGAGAACTGAATTATCTCTGTTTTTCATTTTCTTTTGAAATTCTACTTAATGAATCTTCGTTTGCAATGGTGATCTGTGATGTTTAGCAAAAACACTGTTAAAATTTATTTATTCACGTGTAATTTTAACTTCCTGTGATGTTTGCATTTACTCTTGCATATCATTTTTTTTCCTGAACTATGAGTCACTACTTTAGGTTCTACTTCTATCCAAAAAACCGATGAATAAGAAACAATGGCATTTTCATACAAGACATTGAGCTTATTAGACAAAAGTTTGACATATTTTCATCTTCTTTTCAAATACTTCCTATTCACTCACTTGAAGCATGTCAAATAAAAGTTTGAACATATAAACCAACACTTGGTGTGTACTGAGTTAATAACTTTCTAAATCGATTAGAGAAACTGGTGTAGACTATTATTATTATTATTATTATTATTATTATTATTATTAGTTAGCTTGGAAAATAAGCTAGGGTTTAGTTTAAGAGTCTTATTTAAGTCTTATTAGGAGAGTTGTACGCTTCTCTACATTAGAAACTTTATTATAATTCCACTCATGGGTCATTGGTTCTCTCTCGTTATACATACTAGTGTGTGGCCCGTGTGATGCACGGGAAAACAATATTATGATTGTATTATAAAGTAAATATATAAATAACATTAATCATGATTTATCCATTGTTTTTAAATTAAACCGGGTTGGACACAGTCCGACCGGATGGACCGATAACCGGTTTATAACCAGTCTAGTTTGCTTGAATAAAATATTTGTTCTCGAATCCGTCAACACCAGTCGGTTGGACTGGTAGGATCGATACGATTTTCTACATAAATTTTGTTATATTTAAAATTATTTTAAATAAAATAGCGATTTATAAATTATTTATCAATTATTTTAAATTATTTAGATATCTAAGTAACGCATTTTATTTAAATTTATTACAAAAAGTACTATACATACATATATATATATATATATTAAATTAAAATTTGAATAAACCACAAATGATTTAATAAAATAGCTTGATCGTTTCGATGACGGTCCAGTTCTTAAAACCTTATATTTATTGTACATTGATAAATACTATTTAATTCACGTAAATATTAATAAAATGATATATAAATATTCATAAATCATTAAACATGTTGTTATAATATTGTTAATAGGATTATTTGAAGTTTGGACTACATCACATTCACGTAATAAAATATTTTCAATATAAAATTTATATTTACGTTCAATAATCGATTTGGTATGGTCGAACTGATACATAACTTAGTCACCTATGACGAACCAAGTTGTGTCAAGTTTGTTTACTATTTTAAATATTACCTAATAGTAATTCAATTAACATGAGCAGTACTCTAATTCATCACCCGATTGATCCAAAGAAATTTTCTTAATTTCTGTAAATATATTTAATTTTATGAAACAAAAATTTTTTATGATTCATATAATAAATGTTTACACCAAATGATAGTATATTAAGATTATAAATTATATATCTAAAGATGAATTCATTATTTTTACTTTATGCATATTAATAAAAAATAAACATAGTAATTTTTAAAAAATTAAGATTAATTGATTGATTATGTAATTTAAAGAATATTTTAGCGTTCAATATTTTTTTTAAGAGCACAAATATAAAGACCGAGATTCTAAAACTTTTGTTATATTTTAAATTGAGATTTTATAAATATAGAGACCGAGATTTTAATGTTGTTTGTTGTTTCTAAGAAAAAAATAAAAATAAAAACATACACACTTAATACATCTTAATCGGATTTTTTAAATAAAAAAAATGAACTAAAGCCTGAAATTTAAGGCAACATTATGATTTTTAAAGAAAAAAATAAAAAAAATAATAAAACTTACTATTTATAGGCTGCATTAAATTCTGACCTATTTTTTTGCTACTATTTTTAGTAAATGGTAATTCTTATTATATATATATAGATTTCCCATATAAATATGTATCAAAAAAATATTCTTAAACAAAATATATTTTTTAAAAAGGAAGAAAAACAAATGATTGAGTCAACTCGGATAACCCAGCGGGCTAATGGTCGACCTGGTAGAATGGCCGTTCAGGTTCTTGACCTGATCAAATGTAACATACCCGAGTCACAAAACTATGGAAAGTGACCAAAATGAAGATGATTTAATAGGTGCATTAGTAAAACCTTTGCAACGTAATCATCATTATTTCCGCAATATCTTGCAGTCTCCATGCCTTAATTACTCCTTTGATGAAATTTCAAAGTCTTCGTCACAACTGAAAATTGCAATCCCTTTTTTTTGAAAGCACAATACATGTTTGTTTAATCTTCTACACAGCATATTCATAATCACATAATTACGACTCAGTTTTCACCTCAGATTGATACGGGATAAGATTTGCTTGAGTTCATTACATATCTAATATGATAAGTTCCAGATTACATGCATTTGAGTACAAGGATTTAACCCATCATAGACTCATAGTATGCAATTCCAAAAAGTCAAAAAGGTTAAGATTTTGGCTACCAAATTAATGAATTATTTACTGGTTGTAGGTTTATATGAATCGATATTCATACTTTGAAATGTCATACTCGAAAAAATAATAAAACCAAATATATAATATAAAAAATAAAAAAATAAAAAATTACGATTGATCTGACTGGCGATTAAGCCGTGTTACACAAGAATTGGTGTATACGGAAATTCATCGAAAGGCTAACAACCGACCAATATGGTTGCGCTTGAGATTCAATTGTTTAAAGATACTGAGAGTAAATGAGGAAACTACATCACAAGCTAGGGCCACTCAGTACACTTAGAAAACACACATATTTGTGGTAGATTAATTGTCGTATCAATTTCTGGAATTAATATTACCCCACATCGTGGTTGAATTATTTGCAACGTCAATTGTGAATAATAAGGGCCCTACTCCAAAGACTTGAGGAGCGATTGTAGTTGAAGAAGCTCCTTTGTTTTCTTGTGTCTATTTTTTTTGGGTCGTGTCGAAAATCTCATCGTGTCATTTATCTTTGTTATCGTGTTTTCTAATCGTGTATTGTTCTAGTCAGTGGTGGATCCAAATCAGATACCAATTTCAAGATTAAAGTGTAACTTAAAATTTCATTTTTTATTTATTATTATTTTTTTTTTCTTTTTTTTTTTTGTGGTTATTTG